AGACGCACGGACGCACACAGGGCAAAACATAAGTCCCCGTTTTCGGACTGCGTCCGAACAGGGACTAAAAATAAGTTATTTAGGATAAACACTAATTCAGTCAAACAAATAAGTAAACAAGTCATAACATGACATGATGATATATACATGTGTTTACAAGAGATGAATGTAATCATAATGTGTAACAGATTAAAGGCGCTGGCAAATTTCAGGTTATGTTTCACATTTTAACAATCTATTCACAGAAGACTGAAATTTAGCATCCACAGAGCCTTAATTTTGATTGATATTTACACCTGACAACAACAGAGTCAGCCATTTTAATCAGAACAGGAAAAGGATGCATGTTACTATATATGAAGTTTAAAATTGACCAATCAAAGTATGCCAGAGATGGTTTTGGACCAATCAAAGCATGCCAGAGATGGTTTTGGACCAATCAAAGCATGCCAGAGATGGTTTTGGACCAATCAAAGCATGCCAGAGATGGTTTTGGACCAATCAAAGCTTGACAGAGATGGTTTTGGACCAATCAAAGCTTGACAGAGATGGTTTTGGACCAATCAAAGCTTGACAGAGATGGTTTTGGACCAATCAAAGCTTGACAGAGATGGTTTTGGACCAATCATAGCATGCCAGAGATGGTTTTGGACCAATCAAAGCATGCCAGAGATGGTTTTGGACCAATCAAAGCATGCCAGAGATGGTTTTGGACCAATCAAAGCATGCCAGAGATGGTTTTGGACCAATCAAAGCTTGACAGAGATGGTTTTGGACCAATCAAAGCTTGACAGAGATGGTTTTGGACCAATCATAGCATGCCAGAGATGGTTTTGGACCAATCAAAGCTTGACAGAGATGGTTTTGGACCAATCATAACATGCCAGAGATGGTTTTGAACCAATCAAAGCATGCCAGAGATGGTTTTAGAACAGCATTTGGTACAACAAAATAGCCAGAAAATGTCATTTTGAATTTGAACAAAATAGGGTGCGTTAATGTTACGTTCAATGTATACCAAGTTTATATGAAATCTTTCCCTGCAAGGCCAAGAATTACAGAAATGCATCACGATTTATTAGTATGGCACCATTCATGCATCTTGAATTTATTCATGAAATGAATCCAACTAAATGTATACGTGTGATATATAATGTATTCATGTATTACCACGAAGTGTGAAATGTCACATAAATGACCAACATCTTTTTGTTGTACATGCCATCAGGAGATGTCTGCACCTCTATGTTCATATATGTTTTGATAACAGATTAGGGTGAAAATGTTTCATGTTGCAGATAATCATGATTTTACCCCAACTTTCACACATTGAAATGGAATCTGAAGCAGTGACCATCTTACCTTTCCCAGCCATGCATTGAACTCATCAGTATTTGTATTCATACTTCGTAAACAAGGAGGTATGTACCAGAAACACACGTTGGTACAAGTAGGCTGTCAATAAATGAGTACAAATGTCAATCAAGGGTGATTAGATTAGCAATGTTTTGGCAGTAAAAATGGATCAACAATTAATTTATGAGTGTTATAAATAGAGTATACATGTGAGAAGTGTGGTTTGAATAAAAATGGAATTTAGTGCATCATAGCCAGTCTTTTGCAATGACTTCAGCTTAAGTAAGTGAAAGAAAAGAATTGACTGCAAAAATAAAAGAATCTCATTAGCAGTGATATTCTGATGGCATTGTTTGATCTGATGTATTGTATAATTGTATAATTATTAATTCATGTTTTTACCGGTAAATGTTTTCAAGCAATGTTTTATACCATTACTGACATAACAGTAAGTAACACAATTGTTCACAACTGGGTACCATATTTATTCTATTAAAAGCACATATAAAAATCATATATCACATTTGTCGTATACCGAATCATGCTACTACAATACTGTCCTGCCCTTTCCAGGATGGTCCGAATGGAGTAAGTAAACTAGGTCTATATCTAAACTCTAATTTTCACATACCTCAACTACAAGTTTAAAACCATCACTTTCTTTGATTTTTTCAGCAAAGTGCCTGTAAAAAAAGAATCATCCACAATGATCAGAATCCAGTAAATTGTAAAATAGAACAAGACATAAATTTCACAGTCCCCGTTATTTAATTATAAAATACTCATGTTAAAATAATACATGGAACATCTGCAAACAATTGAATTAATATGTACTCTATGTGGGTACAACTCATCATAAAGTGATTTCCTTTAATCTGATAACTGAACTTTCATTGACCTGGGTCAAAAATCTCAGAGAACACAAGTGCAACTAAACTATGTCTCATACATGCTCAAGAAACTGCATTCATAAATCTGAGTAAACCTTGATGTACCTTTAATAACATCTTGACTTCTTTGTTAATTCAGGTCTTTGTATATTACCAGGACCTGGGTTTGTTTCAGTATCACCACTATAATTCTCATCAAAATGTAGCCCTGTAGCCCTCTACATTTTCTACTGAGATTGGTAATAGTATCTGTCACTGATTCAGATCAAGGTCATAACCAGGTCATGACATCACTAAAAACCCTAGCATTACAATCTAAGCTAATTATTTATTCTGAGCATGCTCAGTTGTTCGCTCGGTGCAGTAGGGATGAGGTAATTTTGGATGAAAATTTTGAAAAAGACCCACATCAGATTTTCATATCTGGAAAAGAAATTATGTGCATATTCGGCAGAGACTTGTTCATCAGTCTGCCAAGTTTCATTGATATCTGCTGCAGAATTTCTGACAAAATGTTGGAGACATAAAGGGGGTGGTCGAAAGGAAACCAGAAATAAGAAATAGTAGTCGCCTTTCAGGCTACGCCTGAACAGGGACTAAAAATGGTGTCAGTCAATGAGTTGTAAACTGTATTTTTGTTTGTGGTGTGTTGGTGACATTAGGTTCTCAAAGGAAGTAAAAAAAGTTATGTTATTGTCTTACATTAGGAATGTTTTAAAATACACTCTGATTTCCCCTGAAAGGGGAGGGAATGCTAGAAAGACGAGATCAGTTTACACCGGGTTACAAATCAGATAGAGATCCACCAAAGGTAAATGCATACTTGAATCAAACCGATTGGCGAGTAGTTTTTAGGAAGTCTAAAATATCACTTTTACCATCACCAAACATGACAAAAATATTTCTGAAAATAACAAATTGAGGATATCTAATAGAAGTCCACCTATATACATATAGGTGTATCAAAGCAATTAGGCTGGGAGTTTTAACAAGCAGCCTGTCAGCTGAGATAGATCCGCTATTATCAATGCACATTTCAATTAAAGAACTGTAGATATCATCAGAAAATGAACAATATGTATAGTATTAAAGCAATTGGACTTGCTGTTTTCAACAAAAATTCGAAAATATAACTTTATATCAAAATTATTCATTAAAATTAGATAATTGAAGAACAAAATCTTTACGAAATGAACAAATCTGAGAGAGGTCCACCTGTAGTACCTATGTAGTATATATAATATCAAAGCAATTAGACTTGTGGTTTTTAACAAGAAGTCGAAAATATCACTTTTTACCAAAAACATTCACCAAAATTAGAGAATTGAAGATATCATCACGAAATGAACAAATCTGAGAGAGGTCCACATGTAATATCTAAGCAATAGGACTTTAACAAGAATTCGAAAATATAATTTTTTACCAAAAATGACAAAAATATTTATCAAAATAAGACAATTGAACATATCCACACGAAATGAACAAATCTGAGAAAGAAGCACCCAAGGTACCTTCCTAGAAAGTTTCACAGCTATACAGTTTGTGGTTTTTTAAGAAGTCCAAAATGTAAAGTTCACAACGGCGACTGGCAATCAGTAATACTATAAGCTTTGCTCGACTTCGTCTACAGCGGAGCTAAAAAACCAACAGATGTCAGAGAAGGTAAAATAATTACCTCGAGTTTGCAAATTTGATGTTGATTTCTTCCTCAAAGCCCAAATTGCCCTTAGCTTTGAACATGAGCCACAACTTGAAAGCATCTACTTTTCTGCCACACTGTATGACTTTATCACCAGTATCATAAGACATATCATAAAACTTGTCTTGTTGGAAGAGGTAAGTGGCACCAGCACAGTGAGCATTATGCATCAATCCAACCTGAAAACAAATGAAGTCTTTATTAAGGTTGTAGATAGATTTTACCCAACAGTTACTAAACTCATGTTTTATTTTGTGTGCGTTATTACTCCATGGTGACCTCCCAAGACTCAAGTGTCAAACTATAGTGACATGTCCAATACAGCATCCCTGGACACCTAGTGGCTATCTTCGATCACATCTGGTGTGCAACCTCTTGTCCAGAAAAGCAGTTGATTCTAACACCAAGCTAGCCCTACATAAGCCTCACATTGGTTTTGAGTAATAC